GCCCCCAGATTTATCAACTTCGAAGGGAAATCTGCACAATTGCTCAAGGAAACGAGCCAGTGGCGTCATACTACTCAAAGATTAAAAGACTGTGGGATGAGCTGAATGTTCTAGATCCAGCGGAGGAATGTGAATGTGGTCTTTGTACTTGTCATCTCAAGATAGGTGGAGCTAGAGACGGTAAGAACAGGCTTTATCAGTTTTTGACTGGTTTAAATGACCGTTATGCTGCTGTTAGAAATCAGATTCTCCTTATGGAACCAATGCCGGATGTGAAGAAAGCTTATTCTATGGTGTTGACAGTTGAGAAACAAACTCAGGTCAGTGTGATTTATAGCAATGTGACAGATCAAAGTGCGATGAAGGTTCAGCAAGTTGAAGGTACCTTTTCAGACTCAGCTATGCTTACACAGAGGCATAAGTTCAACAAAACATCTAGGGAAAATGATTTTAGGAGAGACAAGGCTGCAAAGAAATTGCTATTCTGTGATCATTGTAAGATGAATGGACATATTAAGGATTCCTGTTTTCGGATCATTGGTTATCCCGAGTGGTGGAATGATAATCATAAAGAAGGTAAAAAGTCACAGCCACAGTTTCAAAGATCGAACAACCATTCTGCTAACTTTGTGGATGCTAAAGCAGAACAACAAGCAATGATCTCCAATGATGATAACACAGGTATACAGACTGTCATGAGTGCTTTGATGAAGCTACAACAGGACATGGGAAGGTTAATGAAAGGCAAGCAACCAGTTGAAGGGAGTTTTGATCGGGTGAATTTTGCTCACTACCATGACTTTGCAGGTATGAGCACTGCCTTAAACTCCTTGCTTTTTGAAGAAAAGATGATGCTGTTTACTATTTGGTTTTTAGACACAGGAGCTACTAGTCATATGAGTTATCTTTTGAACCTATTTGCATCTTTCAAACCTGTTTCAGAATACACACCCGTTAGTTTACCAGATGGAAGAATGAAAAATGTAGAACACATAGGGACAGCTAACCTTTCCAACCATTTACAACTCACAGATTGCTTACATATTCCATCATTCAAATATAACTTGATTTTAGTCAGTAAATTAGCCACCACCTCAAAAATTGACTGCTTGTTCTCAACAAACTTCTGTTTGTTGCAGGACCAAGCGACTAGAAAGCTTCTTGCTGTTGGAAAGGTTGTGAACAGGCTGTATGTTTAGGATCACAAATCATTTTCACAAGAGACTATAATGGATTTTATGCAAGTTCATGTGAGTCATCCATTTGTTTTATATCTTAATCCTAGGCAATGTTTCTTATCCAACACAGAATGTACCAATGCCATTTGGCATCAGAGATTAGGTCATATACCTGATTTAACCATCAGTCATCTAGGATTGTCCAAACAGAATGATGGTTTTAGCTCAAAACAGTGTAATATTTGCCCATTGGCCAAACAGCAAAGAATAAAGTTTCCTATAAGTTCTATACAGTCTTTGTCCATTTTTGATCTCATACATGTTGACATTTGGGGTCCTCATTCCCAAAAATCGCTTAGTGGAGCGCAATATTTTTTAACTCTTGTTGATGATTATAGCCGTTCCACTTGGACTTATCTTATGCAATATAAGTCACAAACAGTTTCCATTTTAGCAGATTTCTTAAGAATGGTTCAAACACAGTTTGGTATAACTGTAAAAACCATTAGAACCGATAATGGTTCAGAATTTCTTAGCCTTGAATGTCAAAATCTCTTAAAAGGTTTTGGCATCTTACATCAACGCACTTGTGTTTATACTCCACAACAAAATGGGGTGGTGGAGCGTAAACATAAATATCTCCTAGAAGTTTCTCGATCCTTAATGTTCCATTCAAGTCTTCCGAAACACTTCTGGGGGGAAGCCTTGTTAACAGCTACATACCTCATAAATAGAATCCCTTCTTCTCTTCTAAAATGGAAAACTCCTTATCATCTTTTATTTTCCAAAGATCCCGATTACCATCATCTTAAAGTGTTTGGTTGCTTGTGCTTTGCAACCAACACTTATCCAAATAAAACAAAATTTGATCCCAGGGCTATTAGATCGGTTTTTATTGGATATCCTCCGAGGCAAAAGGGTTACAAGCTATATGACCTAGACTCTAAGAGAGTTTTTGTTTCAAGGGATGTAATTTTTCATGAAAATACATTCCCTTTCTCAAAACAAAATCCAGCTTCTCAGATATTCAACATGCCACAAGTTTGCTCTGAATATGATCAGTTTCCTTTTTCAACTGATGTTTCCTCCTTATATCATTCAATTTCACAGGCAGGTTCTATTTCCACAACTCCAATTGCTGATCATACTTCACCTTCTCGTTTTTCCGATAACCAACATTCAGTCCTTAATCCTTCCTCTGATAGTACAATGCCATCATCCCCTCCTCTCGATATTGTGCCTGATCCCTTATCCTCTACCACCACCATACCACTCAGGAAAAGTACTAGAATTAGACATACTCCCAAGTGGATGAATGAATATGTACCTGAAAAGGCATGGTCTGTTCACAGTCATAGTGATCCCCTGCATGATTTTAAACAATATACCCCCCCACAGTTTTCCTTTTTATCCACTCACCAACTGCACAGTAGCTCATGTGTCTTTTCTAGCCAAAGTAGACAGCATCATGGAACCAGCAAATTATGCCGAAGCCAGTCAGCATCCAGGTTGGGTTCAAGCTATGAAAACCGACATTGATGCCTTAGAGACTAATCAGACATGGGAACTCACCTGTTTACCTTCTGGAAAGAAACCCATTGGTTGTAAATGGGTGTTCAAGGTGAAATATTGTTCCGATGGTAATGTCGAAAGACTCAAAGCACGGTTGGTTGCAAAAGGCTACAATCAGGTTGAGGGGGAGGACTTTTATGATAGTTTTTCCCCCGTCGCAAGAATAGTGACTGTCAGGTTGTTACTTGCAGTAGCGGCATCCAAAAGGTGGTTTATCCATCAATTGGACATCAACAATGCCTTCCTCCATGGTTATTTGGAGGAAGAAGTCTACATGTTACCCCCAGAAGGATACAGCAAAGCTTCTCCAGGTCAAGTATGCAAACTGAAGCGGTCTTTATATGGCCTGAAACAGGCTTCGAGACAATGGAATATTGAGTTTTGTTCCAGGATTCGTACTCTTGGTTTCTAGCAGTCACCTCATGATCCGTGTCTCTTCATCAAGGATACCAATGGTGAGTTTTTAGCATTGTTGGTGTATGTAGATGACATCTTGATCACAGGTCCTGATGAACAAGCCATTCTATCAGTGAAGAAAGCTTTGGATGCAGCTTTTACCATAAAAGACTTAGGGAATGCAAAATACTTTCTTGGCATTGAGCTCACCAGGTCCAATGAAGGTTTGTATCTCAATCAGAGGAAGTATGTTTTAGATATACTTCACTCAGTTGGTCTTTTGGGATGTAAACCTACCACTACTCCACTTCCCAAGGGTCACCAATTCAATGATAAACCAGGATCACCTGTTGAAGATTCTTCCAGATACAGAAAGATTGTAGGCCAGTTACTTTATCTCAGTTTTACCAGGCCCGACATCCAGTATGCAGTTCAGCAACTCAGTAAGTATGTACATAAACCCTGTGAAGATCACTGGAATGCCATGGTTCATGTGCTGAAATATCTTAAAGGCACTCCTTCCCATGGTCTTTTCTATGGTGTTCAATATTCTCCTCAATTGCTAGCATACAGTGATGCTGACTGGAATTCTGAACCAGTTGACAGAAAATCTATCTTAGGTTTCTGTGTTTTTTTTGGTTCCTCCCTTGTTTCCTGGAAAACCAAGCAACAAGGGACTGTTTCTTGCTCTTCTGCTGAGGCAGAATATAGGAGTATGAGCTTTACTGCTAGGGAAATGATGTGGCTAGCATATCTCCTTCATGACCTTCAAGTATCCTTGCAGTTGCCAATACCTCTGATGTGTGATAACCAGGCTGCTATATATATCACTGAGAATCCCGTCTTCCACGAGCGCACCAAACATTTGGAAGTTGATTGTCATTTCGTTCGCCATCAGTTCCAGCAAGGATTCTTAGTTCCTCTTCATGTTGCATCTCAAGACCAAGTAGCGGATATCTTCACTAAGTCCCTGTCCTTTCCACTCTTTACCAAGATGTTGTCCAAGCTTGGCTTGAAGAGTACCTTTCAAGCATCAGCTTGTGGGGGGAATGTAGACAATGAAGCTCAGGATGATTCATCACAGCAATTTGGTCATAAGCCGCCTTGAAGGAATTTTCAGAAGTATAAAATTGTACAGTTTCTATATCATAGGGACTTAGTTGTAAATACGGACTTAGTTGTAAATACCAATATACTTGTACATAATCCGGCTGAAATACTTTGTTAGTTAATTAGCTGGACATAGTATATATATAATTGTACATATGATGTAAATTTCAATTTAACAGAAAATACATTTTTCCAGAAAGAAGTTGTTCTTCATCCCAAATTGATAAACCCTAGATCTCGAGCTACATCCTTCGATTCACAATCTCAAATTCAAGAATGCTTCTGAAAGCTTACACCACTTCATGTAGTTGTATCTGTTGTCCAGTTTATTGGCTAGTATTGGCAAACTGGAACAATTGAAGTCTCTTTTTAAACATGATAATTCCTGTGTGTTTTATGTTCATCCTTATCAATCTGGAGTAACCACTGATGAATATCCTAGAAGCATCCGTAGCCAATTTCTGATCTTAATAATGAAAGTGCAAGTAAATCACATATGTGGTTATAAAGCTGATACATGATTCGTCTGTTGTGGGTAGATTGTTATTTTTTTGTTAATTCTATCAGAAAGGATTCACCAGATGAAGACAACTTCTTAGGAAGAAACAGTGACGGAATGATTGTGTCCCTTTTTAGTATTACATCTTGTTATCACATGTTAGATCAGTAATTTACTATTCTTTGTTATGAGGCATTGGATTTTGAACTATTTTTATGCATGGTAACTTGTTCATCATTCTGTACTTCCAATGAGAATTGAATGAATTTTTATCATGACAATTGTTGTTGATTCTTCAAATGAATCTTGAACCTGATTTGTAGGCATTGATATGCAGATGCATATCATCCTTTCGCCGGATGCTATATGCATGGACGGCTGCAGTCCTTAAAATTTCCCTTTGTGTTTAACTTCATACTTCTTCAATCTATGCTTTTCCATTTGTGGTAAACTATATGCAATCCATCAGTGAGTGACTGTTCCATTCTTTTTTTTAATCAAGAATAAACATAGGCATTCTTCTTCCGGTGCCATTACTCATCTATAGTCCTCTCCAACACTTTCTCATTAAAGTTTCCCCAAAATGTCAATGGATGCCTTGTTCTGTATGTTTCCGTATTCATTTTGGAAACCTGCTGTTTACTGGTGATTCTGATGGATTTCATTCACTCCAGAAAAAGATTCAGAGGTTACTTTTATGAAACAATTATTTTTGAAAATTTTAATAACATTTCTGTTATCTGTTTGTTCAGCTAAGTGTATGTGTCGTTTCAACAATAAGTGAAATAACATCAACATCTCGTAATCATTTCAAATAATCCCTACCGAGGCTTTGAAAATCACTTACTCTTTTTGTGCACATAATCATTCATTGAAGCCCCATTGTTGCCTATTCTGATACTTCAAACATGATAAGATGGTTCTTCGAAGGTTTTTGATCTCTGCACATCTTCGTATATTGTCTAACTGAAGATCAGCTTTTATTTATTCGGAGCAGTTTCCAAAGATTAGAACTCGTGCTTTTGATCAGTGTCTTAACCTCAATGGTTGGAGTATATACTTAAGATAAGAGGTTAGTTTCAAATATATAAAGGACATCAATAGTGGTTCCGAAGACATTACATTTCATGCTTCATGATCCCAAGAATTATAAAGAGCTCCAAATGGAGAGATGTGCTTCGTTCTATGTATTCAGAGAAGACACAAATTATTGAATGCTTTTCCTTGTAATGGAAGAAATCTTGTCTATTACTTTTTCCGGTGTCAGAAGAATAGAGAGGAAATGGTAGTTTATGGCTTAGTTATATGCCAAAATTCATAATCTGCTGCTTTGTGTGCGAGCAGGATGAGGCTAGCCACTCCGTCAATATTTTCATTGCAGTCAAGAAGCTATTTTATCAGTGAAATTAGTATACCAATCATCATTCTTCCTGGACATATCTTGACACCTTTTACATGATGTTTTATGTTGATAGACTGGAGTGTGTGAAACATTATTTCCTGTATTTGTAAAAAAAAAAAATTGTTTAAGCATCATGCTCTTTGTTTCAGTGCTGCAGGTTGACTTCTCTAGAAGCACGGATTCAGACTTCTGGGATCCACCAATATGTGAAGGTATCTACAAGTTTTCTGTAACTAAATTAGCTGTGATATTTTAGAGAGAAATATTGGAACTGAAAGACTGGCTTTGTTACAAGTCATTTATGCCCATGATCAATTTTACAGATCCGTGATTATGTTTATATCATTGTCACAGACACAGATGATTATCCTGATTTTAGAGGATACTTAGCTGAAAACTGGGTGCGGAGTGATTTTTATGATGGATATGGTCTGTTTGGTAAGTATATTCACTTAACGTATAATTTTTTGCATCTTAAGTAGTCTGACATAAATACAGTCTAAATTAACTCGAATGTTTGTTTAGATGTAATGGAAGAAGATTCATTAAATGACAAGGCTTGTGCGCAAGTGCGAAAGATAATGTTCTCAACCGCAAAAGCAAATTTAAAGGAAGTTGGAGAAGAAATCACATTACTTCAGAGCAAACTATCTTGGGCTGATGAAGTCTGGTCTAAGAAACTCTCCACATTGAAGGAAATGATGAATTCGCTGGAGGTGTTAATTCAGAGATTGAAGGATGAAGAACAACAAAGAGACCATGACCTTGATTTTCATTTCCAATCACTTGAAGAACAGCAAACTGAAGATGAACTTGATTCCCATCTCCAATCACTTGGAGAACATTCTGAAAAGCTAAATAAGATGTTAAAAGATCTTTTAGACAGCTACTCTCCCAACATAGATGTTCAGGTTTACTTCTCACACATTTCATCATTTTCCTCTTTAATGCAATACCTATTAGCTGGTGTCGTGCTGTGGCCATTGAGCATAGCCTTTACTTGGTTCACATTTAAACATATCAGTAGACCAACATGCTTTTTTCTCTACCATTGTCTTGTACTAAATCCTTATGCTGTTCACGATTTGATATATCTTAATTTTAATGACAATCCTTCCCTGCGTGCATGCCTCACATAAACTCGGAAGAGTGTGTACGACTTCCATGAAAGAGAACATAACCATGTCAGAGACCTACAAAGCACTAATTTTTATTACCATATATAATTGTATCTAGCCTGCCAAGGTGGTAGATAGTACTGTAATGAAATAGGAAGGCATATGAGTTGAAATTTGGTGGAAGATATTGTGTCAAGAAATATTAACTTATGAAATACGTTACTAAGGAAGTCAGTTTGGTGTTTGTGCATGTAGAACTTGCACTCTTGGGTGATTGCATAGTCAAACGTAACACAGCATGCAATGCCCCCTGCACCTTCAGCTTCTTTGATAACCAACCTTATAAGTAATAATTTATATTCCTTTGCTATTGTAGACATTCCCGTATCAGTTAATGAAATGACTGCTTCTTCACATCCATTTGTTATTTTAAAACGATTCTAGGCTTGTATGTAACGAGTTCTTGTTTGGGCTCATTTGAAGAGAGGTTGGATGATAAATATGAATAGAAAAGTTGGTGTCTATAATCACAAGTCACAACTGCATGTAATCAAGACATGGAGGATCTGTTGTATACACTAGTTGGCAGATGTAAAATTGTCTTTAGCCAATGTGACAAATTTGCATTTTACAACATTTTTTGTTCAACAAAGGTGCTCAGTGATTTATGCACTTCTGCTCAAGAGTAGCATGTAACAGCTTTGTTCAAATATGTACAACCTTTTACAGGTGCAGAGTTTGAGTCCCGCTATCGAGAAGCTAGAAACTAACCAGTTCAATAAAGAGACCAAATTGAGCGATTCCGTAGCAACAGCATATGGTGCTAAGACATTGGAGGAGACTGTTGTACCATCATGCAAGTCACATGAAACAAGATCTCAACTTGGATCCAGTGAAGTTAATGTCTTGCCATTAATACGGCTCCTAGCCTAGCAGCCTGATTTAGAAATTTCTTAAATGACGGAATCAAACCTGGAATCTTAACTTCTTACTATTATCATCTGAAGGTGTCCTCTGAATCTAAATGTTCTTTCTAAAAATCTAATCAGATTGGAGAAGCAACAAGGTCAGACTTGATCAAAAGTTGCAGTACACATGCAGCCAATGTGCCTGTTCACTTGAACATTGACAGTTCAAACATTCATATGGATCAAGAAACAGAAAATCAAGATTCAACTACCAAGGCAGAGAAGGGAGTAGCATCAACAAAAGTTGACAAGGTAACTACACTTCCACTTATTGAGGGATAGTTTATTAAATTCGCATGCTTTTTTTAGTGGTGATTGTGCATTCCTCCAAGTGTGAGGGTGGAGAACAAGTACCTCTCAGCTGCGATCCCCTCCCTTCGTACCCCAACTTATCAGTATTGAATTTGACTATAGGAAGCAAAAGCTGCAAAGGCGAACACAAGTTTGCTTGCCTTAACATGGGAAGCTGGTTCAGAGGGTGTTAAAGAGGACTCCAATCTTTCACAAGAAAAAACTAGGGGAACCATTGTGAAGAGTTTGATAATTGAAAGCATTAGCTTAGAGCTATCTAAAAACCTAAGGAAACAACTATTGCTGAAGCAGATATGGTATGAGAAACCTCTTCTGCATATTTGTTTATATCTGAATAGATTGGGTTAAGGTACATGAATGGTTATCATTTGTTGCTGATGCACACCATGTTTCCGAAATGTTTGAATGGATAAGCTATAAACTGTAGATATATAGATGCACATGAACAATGAACTGACATTTAGAAGAGAAATCCGATTACTCGACATTTCTTGCTAATCTTCTCATTTAGGAGAGTTCTTTCAGATGACTTGTAAAATCTATCTCCTGTGTTTCTTGGGAAAAAAATTTATTTGAAAGCTTTTCTAGCTCGAAGTTACATATCCAGACTGCAAGACTGATGCTGCCAAGAAAATTAGCGAAGAGTCTGCTTTAAAGCGAAAGCTGATGATGCAAGAAGATGCCAGGGGAACTAACGTGATAAACACAGGAAAGCAGGTAGAAGCACCAGGGAAGACAACAGCAGAATCACCCCCGAAAGAGAACCAAAAAGAATCACTGATTTCCAAGTCTAAAGTTTCTGATTTGGACCTCGCACTTGGGGAAACACTTAAAGAGCCAGTGAACAAGAAAGGAGAAAATGTGCAACTAATAGAAGAAGTTAAAAAGTAGTGGAGTTGGAGAAGAGCCACACAAATCAAATTTGTTTGTAAGACCTTCAACGGAAAATTTACAGAGAAATGCAAATTTGATCACTCTTAGTGGGCATGCTGGCGGACTTCAATCAAGGTACAATAAGGGAACTGATCTGAATCTTAAGAAGGACGACGGTAACAGTTCCATTGTAGATGATTACTTGGGTTCAGCTTTTCAGTCACTTGGAAAAAGAATGAATTGTGAAGCATTTCCAGAGACCAAGATACATGTAGAGCTGAAGAAATCTCGGGTATATTCCAAGATTGGTGAGGATATTATGAGCATTTCAGTAAAGGAAGAGGACGAGGTCACCTCCAGAGTTGCTTTTCTTCTGCCGTCGAAATTTAGCCCTACCTCTACAACAACAGAAGATTATATTTCAATGTCGGTTGCTCAACTCAAAGCCATTGCTAAGGAACGCAACTTGAAACGGTATTCTAAACTTAACAAGAGAAAATTGATCGAGCTTCTCAAGTAACATTGAGGAAAATAATCACCTTTACTCACACAGAAAAGTAGTGCAATGGCAGAATTCTACTAACAGATTTTATACATTTTCTGCTCTCCGGTGGATACATCTTCAAGTGACTCTCTCTCCATGTTTGGATTCATCGAAGAGTCAAATGGTTCTGCAGAAACTATACCTTGTTTTAGAGTATATTCATTTTCGTGTGACAATTAGCATTTTCTTTTCTTTTACTCTTATTCGTCACCATGAATTGACGTGTCCAGATTCCGGAGAACCATCTAAACGTAGTGCATCCATCACATTTCATTCCGAGCTTTTTCCTTAGCACATTTGAAGTGTCAAATTTTCGTCATCAAAACTATACAATATGAGAAATCAGTAATCAAATCTGCTACCAGCACAAGAAGAAGGAGCACCATTTCGGCTTTAGTGTATTATGCTTTTTTTTTTTTTTTTATAAGTGTATTGTGCTTTTAATGTTATTCTTGTTGATAACAAAAATAAAAATATCATAATACAAGGCACTCTATCCTACTTTGGAAAAGGCAAGCTTAATAGAAGAGTGAAAAGAGATCAGAAATTTCACATTGTAGGGGTTTCATACCCAAGACGAGTTGTTGTGTAAATTTGTGATATATATATATATATATATATATATATATTTATTTCCCCGGTTGATCGAAAAACAGAGATAAAAAATTTCATGCTTTCGCCTAGGATGAAACTAGATGTTAAACCCGTCCGTTGGACAGGACAACCATATTCATATAGAAATTGAAATAGGAAAATAAGTATATTATTAAAAAGTATATTGAAATATAAAAAAAAATATGTTAGAATGATAAGTCGTTAAGAAATTATTTTGAACAAACCATCAGAAAAACATACCAAACAAAACTTCAACTTACTTTAACTTCAAACAAAAAATATCTGGCTATATATACATATAAAAAAATACATATAAAAATTAAACAGAATACCTGTAAATCAGCCTCCTATTCTAGGATAATTTTAGTAAATAAAATAAGCACAAGTACAAAGAATACACTACAGTAACTGATTATTATCTAATAGGTTTATAAACATCATATGAGTAAAATATTTTAATGGTTTGGAGTGAATTTCTACTTAGAAGCTTTATGTTAGGTGGGTCTACCACAATTTTTGTTTTTAAATGTCCTATTATAATCAAGCTTTTGCTCCCTCCTCCTCCCTATATAATTCCAAAATTATTTTACTTTTTTTATGACAAATGATCAATCAAAATAACTCATATACACAAGAAACACGAAAAAACAATAAAATTAAAGATTTACTGATGGTAAAGTACATTTTAAAATTATTATAACTAAACTATTTTCTCATACATTCATTTATTTTAAATATTTTTCACCCCCTAATCAATATTCTCTTTTGTCTTAGTTTCTCCCGGTTTTTAGAGATTTACAACATAGAATTTAGTGGTATATGTATCAAATTTTTTGCTCTCTTAATAATATCAATCAATTGTATTTTTTTTCAGTCTTTCTTATATAACTTAAAGTGATTCTTATCGTATTGTATTTTAATTGTTTTACAAGTTCATTTATTTATTTAATTGTTTTGCATTTCCTACTTATAATTATGTGTTTTGCCAAAATATGACTTGTTATTTTCTCTTAGTGATGGCACGTGATCATCTGTGCCACTTTTCTATTACTTTCTATGTTACAATTCAATAATTTGGTATAATTTAGTCGTTTCTTTTAATATTTACACCATTCATTATCAGCTTTAATGTTATATTTAGGACTAAGGGTTCACTTATTTTGGGTTAGGGTCTATTTATTTTAATTTTCATTGATAAAAATTCACTAAAAATGGTAAAATTTCATTAAAATTATAACATTAATACAAAAAAAATAAAAAATTCATATGAAAATTATCTAGAATGAATATGTTTGTTTATAGTATATATATGTATTAGCACAAAATATATGGTCAATAAGACTATACAAATTTATGACTGCTGTTAACCAGCATAATCTTGCAATGGAACATTGCAAAATTTAAAACTATACGTTTGTGTACTATTAAATTGTGAAATCATTTATTCAAACTCCTAAATATTTTATGATGAGTATCATTTAATAATCTAATTTCACAATTTATTCTATAATTATATTAAATGACTACATAACTTACTAATGAAATTAAATTATACTTCCTCTGTCCTGAAATTATTGTCCAATTTCAATTTTTCCTTTTAGAATAAATTAAACTAAAAGTGAAAGTCTAAACTGGAAAAATAATTTTAGGAGAGTAGGAGTAATTACTAGTACATAAAGAATAACTTATAGAAACTTTCGCCTCACGTAAATAAAAACTTTATTAATAATTCAATATACAAACTAAATAAATCAAAGCAAAATACACTAAATTAAACAAATTCTATTCTAATTAAAAAAAACTAACTAATTGAAGAACTTCTAAACTAATTAAAAAATAACTCAAACAAATTAAATAATAGCCTAATCCTAAATTCTAATAAATTAAACAACATCATTAACCAAAATAATCTAATCAAACATCTTACAGGAAAAAGTTTTTTTTTTAAAAAAAAATGAGATACACAAAATTATTTTATTTGGAGGTGATGAGTAATTTTGTGGATGGTAGAGAGCATATTTTTTTCTACTGGAGAAATTTTTGTTACTCTTTTCTTTTTGGATAAAAAAAAAATAGTTTTAGAAAAAAGAAAGGAAAGAAATTAGGTGGAGAGCCACGTCAGCCGCGAAGAGTCAATTGAACCGACAGAAGGGTTCTTTCTTCGAATCCTAATCAGACCAATTTTCAATTTCCCATTCATTAACTTCTCCTATTAGCAAATTCCTTCTCTGAATGGATTTTTGCTGTTCTATCGGTAGGTGAGAATTATTTGAAGTATTTTGATTTTTATTTTGGTGGGCTAGTATATATACTTCATCAGTGTTGCAATGTATCTTCAAGCACCACCAACCTCAAATCATATCCTTCGCCCTCCAAAATTTGTTCTTGGTACTCATTTTGTCAATCCGTGTCCTCAAATATATCAACTCAAGAGAATTGACTCTAATCCAAAATTGAAATCTGGGTTCTTTGATTCAACCAAAAGGGTGTCTATATCACAGGTTGGTTTGGTGAAATGTGGTGGCTTGGTGGGTGTAAGATGTGAAGCGGGTCATGATGATGGGTACTACATAAGGAGATGTGTTGAGCTTGCTAGGAAAGCAATTGGTTTTACCAGTCCCAATCCAATGGTTGGTTGTGTTATTGTGAAGGATGGCAAGATTGTTGGTGAAGGATTTCATCCCAAGGCTGGCCAGCCTCATGCCGAGGTGAATATCAGCTCTTTGTTTTCGCTCTCTATTGTTGAATAATCAAGAATGACCAAGTTGTGGATTAAGAATGTCTTTTTCTTTTCTTTTTTTTGTTTGAGTAAAGAAGAATGTCTTGTTGGTTTTCAAGCTGGTGACTTTATTGTCTGGAATTGTGTCATATATTGACTTCCATGTTGAATATGGATTTCAATGATATTGGTTTGAGCTGATTGCTGAACTTGTGTGTTTAAGTATGCTAACATTAACTTGGGTTTAGAAATTGGGTAAAGACAAAATTCTTTGCTTTATGAATTTGTGGCAAACGTCCCATTTTATATTATTAGAATGTAGGTTCCTATTGACTGCCATTTCTTAACCTTTAGTAGATTTGTTGTTATGATGTCAACTTGGCTCTTGTTGTCATAGCAAATAAATGGAGGAACTAAATTTTATTGAATTGCAATATGCTCTTTTGAAAATTGTGATGACACCGTTGATTGGTCACAAATCCGAATGACTCATCAGAAAAATAGAAATTGCTTTATTCTGAATTTGTTCATTGTATTAATTTTAAGAACTTTAGGTGTTTGCACTCAGAGCTGCTGGGAATCTAGCCGATGGCGCAACGGCTTATGTGAGCTTGGAACCTTGTAATCATTTTGGGAGAACTCCACCATGCAGTGAAGCCTTGATTAAGGCCAGAGTGAAAAAGGTAGTGGTAGGGATGGTGGACCCAAACCCCATTGTGGCTTCGAGAGGTATTGAGAAACTACGAAATGCAGGGATTGAGGTGATTGTTGGTGTTGAGGAGGAATTGTGTAAGAAGCTTAATGAAGCCTGGATCCACCAAATGCTTACAGGGAAGCCCTTTGTTACGTTAAGGTATGACTGGGGAATTGACATTTAATTCTGGTATTGATTTGAATTCCAGATGTTGATGTTTTTAAACAAAATCATTTTTGAAGTGAAGGTACTCCATGTCAGTCAATGGCCATGTTGTAAATCAGTTGGGGACCACAGTCCTTCAGTCTGGTGGATATTACTCTAAGTTGCTTCAAGAGTATGATGCAGTTATATCATCTTCGAGCTTGTTTTTAGAAGGATTGCCTCTTCCCACTTCCAAAGAACCAGGGGCCAATCAACCTGTTCAAATTGTACTAGCAAAGGCCTCAGCTCGTCCTACTGATGTTCCTACATTTCCCAATGAATCTGCTTCCGAATTTATTATCTTCACTGAAGAAGAGACCTCTTGGCAACAAGAGGCAGCCAAAATAGGAGCAAAAATGGTTGTTTCTGGAAGAATGACTTTGCTGTCTATCCTTGAATGTTGCAAGCAGCAGGGACTTTGTAGTGTCTTGCTGGATTTGAGGGGAAATATAATTGATTTTGAAGGAATCTTGAGAGAAGCGGATGAACTAAATTTGTTCCAGAAATATGTGGTTGAAGTTTTACCTGTTTGGGATGGGAGCACCGAAGACTTGCTAACGAGTATTCCAGTAAACTTAAAGGTGGAGAATTTGTCATCAGCAGTCTCAGATGAGACTATTCTGCTAGAGGGATATTTTGTAAATAAAGCAGAAAGCTCTTAAGCCGAGGAGCTCATTTCTGGGAATGGTTTCTGCAGAACTTCTGATTTTCAACCGAGTCTAATGGATTGGATAAAGGCATAAGTAAGTTGCAAATGCCTGTATGGAGCTCGATTTCATTTCTGAAAATGTACCATCCAAACAAAAACCAGTCTTTCTCTGCAGACTGCTATTCTTGAAAATTTCGGCAAATGGTTGGGGAGCTAATCCATTATCGACAGAATTAAGTGTAGTGATGATTATTCTTGCAGTGATTCACATTGATACACAGCACATATCTCCTAGTTTGAGCAACTATTGTTTAACACACAGATAATTCACTTGTTTGAAGTGCTTGCTCTTTGTAGTTTTGAGAACTGAGTTATTCTTGTAAATATCTCAAGTTTTCCAATAAATGTATCAGTTTTACTGTTGCAGCTTTGATTAGTGGCAGATATATGTGCATGCGTTTTTCTTCAATGGTTACTTGAACATTGTAATATCTCATTGTAGATTCAGAAAGCCAAAAAAAGCATCCTGATTACGCTTCTTAATCCATGCTGCAGCGCATTTCAAAGATGCTTTTCTTGTGCGAATGTGCATTGAACCAGAGAATGAACCTAAATAAATTTGCCACTCACATTTTGTGAAATTGTTCACAATTAATGATCTGTGGGTCTGGTTACACAGACAGAATGGTTACTGCATATCGATTCTGATTTGGAGAGTGGATTGTATGACACATTAATACTGGGATAAAGGGCTACTTTTAGGAGAAACAACTGCTTCTGATGATTCTTTTCTACCCCAATTTCAAAGCTCAACATGATAACATATAAACTCTTTAAACAGTTGCGAAATGAATCATATGGTAAGTTTTGATCATTCGAATGATTTCAGTATAAATTGAAACTATACCCAAAATGCATCAATCCATATGTTATTTCTCTTATAATAAAACTCTGCTTGTATCGTCTTGAAGCAGCAACTCAAGCTTGCTTCAAAAAACTGAGAAGTGAAGGCCGATAGAAAGCATGGCTTTGAGCAATTTCTATACGGTCACGAGGATCATTGAGATTCTCATCCCTCAATGCTTGAAGAATGGCCTTTACACCTTGTTCCCTGGGCACAGGAAAAAAGAAAAAAAAGGATCACTTTTATGTTATAGAGGGCAGGAAAGATAATTTTTGACAAAAATTGAGAGAGTATTTTTATCATTTTTACTCCTGAGAAACAAATGGGCACATTCATATTAAGGCTAAACTTACCTGGATATTAGTATTTTGTATAGCATCTTCAAGATGGGGCAGAGCTCCACAGGTGCAACGGGCTTCTTACCGTCAGGATGCAACACATTCAGGCTTGACTGACTGAGAAGTTGATAAAATGCTCCCACAGCAGAGACTCCCTAGATATATCCAAACAAATCAGCCTTAATAAGTTTATTTTGTCTAATTTGAGGAACTGAGTTTACAAGAGACTACAATAAACTGTGCAATTTCATCTTTTCCAGGTTTTCACTAATATATATGATGTTGAGTTCCATTACAATAGAAGTACATTATTTACAAAAGATTACCTGAATGGTTCCTTTGCCACTAATGCTATCACCCAAATCCAGGCTTAACTCTCCCTTGGCTATCATTTGTCCGTACCAGGCATTACGTCCCTTCAGCAATGTTACGTAGGTGTCAGCAAGCAGAGGCCCTGCAAGCTTCTCTGGTTCTTCAGCCAGCAAATGAGTGATGAATATCATTTCGGATGTACAGTGAGCAAAATATACAGACTTGCTTGTGGCACTTTCATTAGTCAGTGCTGCGATCATTCCTGAGGAGAAAATATGAACACTTTAATCCTTAAAAATCACAACTGAGTCCTGTGACATGCATTTTTCCTACGTCAGAATTGTTTGTTTCAGAAACCTCTCAAGTACATGCTTTTTGTTCAAAATGCCGGAGTACATAGCGAGATGTTGAATGAGAACCAATTTGAATTTGCAAATTATGACTTATACTATAGATGCTTCAGAAACATGCTTCTTCTTCTCTTTTGCCGTGTTCTAAGGAAACTTAAGCATTTCGATATGAAAACGATTGAAAATTTAATCCCCGAGAACTTGGAGGACTGGTTATATTGTAGATTGGTATCTTTAACTTTCTGTTTCTTGAAAGGTCCATATCTTTCCAGTCCTCCAGATATACAAGCAGTTAATTAACATTAAAAGCACTAAAATCCTTTTGTTAACTTTAGTTAGAAAAGATGAATAAACTTACCCGCTCCAATTGCATAGACATTCTTCAACCCTCCCATAACTTCATGTGTGACAAGATCACTATTGTCCCAAACAATGAAATGGGGCTGCCTTAAGAACTTTGCGAGCGGTACTCTCCATTTTTCGGCTCCACATATCCGGGCATTAGCATACTCCTTGTTGTATATCTCAGAAGCAATGTTGGGTCCACCAAGATAAAGAACGTTCTCGATTGGTACTCCAGCTGAAGGCAAATGGAATTCAGTTTAGAAAGTGGAATCCAACAATAAGATAAAAAAAAGCATAAGGTTATAGCAGAGTTGCTTACTTGCACGATTGATCATCTGAGTCGGGGTTATGATATGAGGAGCAGGGTCTAGTTCAGCTTCTATACCCTTTGCTAAAGAAATTATGATTGGCATTGTAATCCTCTCTTTCCAATACTTGCTGATTTCCTCAAACACTTCTTGAGTCTCTGTTGAAGGCAATCCATTCACCACAATATCAGCATCCCAAACAGCTTCCTGCAAGTTTGTCACAACCTTCAAGGGACAAAGTGGTGTCTCAATCATGTTCAAACAGAAGCCATCTTTCAGAATCTCATCAGCATACAGTGTTCGATCGCCTAATCTTGCCTCAACATACTTCAAGTATGCACATCTCCTTATCAACCTCCTCAATACATCCTCCCTTGAATTGATTACCTCAAACAAATGCTCCGCTGTGGCTCTATCAACCGCCTTTCCAGGCCTTCTCCATATCCTGATTTGAACCTTGTCTCTGAACTTACCATAGCTGTCTTGAAGCAAAGCTGCAAAAACACTACCCCATGCACCTGCCCCAACACTAACAATCCTTAACACATCATCATCACCCTTGCCTAAAAACCTTCGAAGATCATCAAGTTTCTCTTCGAAACCATTATAATTCTGCACCCTCCCATTTGAATACACCCTATGATCATCCACTTCAATACTTCCAACCATCCTTCCTGGTCCAAGATCAGCAAGCTTTATCAACAGAGCTATTCTGAACAACCAAATGGAAAAGCAGTTTCCTATGTTATTCTTGTGTGCAGTATGCAATGCATCACCAAATTCCAACCTGCACAATGGGTTTTTAAACAATCAAAATTTACCCTATATTATCCATATTTAAGAACCCAAATCAGAAAGATTCAGTTTTTGCTATTGTAGAAGAAAGTACTCAAATGAATCATCACTAGCTAGGATACCAGCAGAACCTAATCTTTTATTGGTAAAGCGTTCACCTAAATCACAACTACAAAAATAAAAGGTTCTCCCCTCCACTCAGATTTCCAAACCAACCAATTCTATCAAACTAATAATATCTTAAAGTATTAAAATAACTTTGAAATCATGTTAAAGCCAAAGCATGATTGACTCAATCAAGTAATTGTATCATAATTTATAACAGTGCGGCTAGCTTTGTAGTTTCCGCCAGAGTTTGTTCATCTACCAAAACGATAAACTAATCCGTATTTATTATATAAAAAAAAAAAAAAACTGTTGCAGTATAAGATTTCTAACCTTTCACCTTTCCAATGTGCCACAAAAATCTAGCTGATCAGTCAAAACCCAACAAAGTTAAGAAACCATTAAAGATTTCTTAGCAAACCATGGAGCCAACAAACACACAAAAATGGCATGCAAATGAGCAGCAGCACATATATAGTGCTAGTAGTACAGTAATACCACAGGATCCAACAAGAAATTGATAATCCCAATTTCTGAAAACTGATCAAGATTGGATCTTTATTATAAAAAAGTGAGTCAATAAAACATTTTGCATTGAATTGTTGGTGATGATTGGTTGGAAGAAATGGGGTCATAATTACAAAGGGTCAGGATAAAAGGGAAAAGGGGGGAAATTAGTACTAGTAGTACTAAGGAGGGGATTATTGGGAAGGTGTGCCTAGAAAGAAGCATTAAAGATTTTAGAAAGCTGCCAACTTCCCCAACGGTCATTTATTACGGCAGAAAGAAGATGATGATGAACTGATGAATTAGATTACAGAAGATAGCCATTGTCAACCATTGTTGACGAGGAGTTACATTACGTTATAATGCTGTCCTAATATTACTCCCTAATTGGATCGCCAACTAGAGAGATTTTTGTTGCCATTTTAGGCGGGTAATAAAATCTTTGAATCTTCATGATTATGAGTTAAATAAAAAACCAAGTCAAAATCGCGTAGACGTACGTTACTGAATTTATTTTTTTGGGCTTGTTTTGGAAGAGAAATTTGACATCTTGAATTCCATCCATGTGTTCACTTCACTAGCTAGTCGCTGGTTCCACATTTAAAAAAAAACAAAAAATCATATTACGCACTGTGTATTAAGTGCATTACACTCACACTAATCCGTTTCGAGACGGATCGGTCTCCGATGTGGGATTCTTTGTCCCAACACCCTCCCTCAAGCCCAATAGGGTATTTGGCCCATTGGGGTTGCACAATACAACATAATTCACCAGATATACTGCTGGGTCAGTCTACAACTCCGGATATACTGCCGGGTCAGTACACAAGCCCACCCATGCGCACAGAAGCGATTGACGCAAGTCCACGACACACGGTCCAAGCCTGCACACGCAGGTCCATAGTTATCAAAGGTCCACAGATCGTGGGCTCTGATACCATGTCAAAGTTACCTTGAGCTCCCATCTCAAAACTAATTGGCTGTGAGTGGGTTGACCTTTGGCACTTATAAACAGGTGACAGATCTTTCACGACACCGATGTGGGATTCTTTGTCCCAACACTCTTTTCAGTTTTCATTCACCAGACTTGAACACAAGATTTCGTTTAAGGGAACCCGAGCGCTTTACCATATTTTGTAAATTAAATCGTAGATTATACTCCATTCTTTCCAGAAAAAGTAATGCACTTTATTTTATACTTTTAGTTAAACAAGTGAATTATATTTTGTGAATATACTTTTTGTTTTTTAAAATCTAGGTGTTATAGTGTCAAGTTATTTTTCTTTTCTTTTTCTTCTATGTCATAAAAAGTACTAGATATTACAAAATTGTAATATAACTTTCATCGAGGATCATGAAGTGGGTGGAATGCCAAGTGGTGGAAGTTAAGAAAAATGCAAAATTAGTGTCGCCATTGTTGTGCTTCAATTAAATTGTCCACTCTAATGCCAACTTATTAGGCAAAAACACATCATCATATTATCTCATACTGTGTGGCTTGATACCGAAGGATTTGAAAAAATATTACGTGTGCTTAGTTTCCTTCTTGCTATCTTATAGTATTACATCTGTTTTTTTTCTTCTTATTTTCCTTCCTTTTTACTAATTTAAAATTATTTTGCTTACACAGTTAGTACAAAATCTTACAACTAATAATTGAATGTCGAAGATATGCTTTTTCAACTATGATTAAAGAGCGCGTGGTTGACTTTTGAGTTTTGAGGGTAGTTTGCTATCAATCATTTTCAAATCAAAATATGGTTTTGTGGGATTTTATATATCAGCAGCAATCGAAGGGTTTGAGAAAAATTACCACAAAGGAAGACATCCAAAAAAACAATAATTGCAAAATAAAGGAAAAAGAAACAAAAACAACATAAACACAAGGGTTTTTTTTTTTTGTTTTTGTGTGACAAGAACTTCTTAATATTATTATATGTTATTATTAGATTTTTTTTGGTGAAATTGTAAACTTGCATTAGCATATGAACTGGGCAGTCTAGGTACAAGCTTCCTACCAAAAATTCCTATATTTACATCACATTTACAAAGTTCCAACTATTGAAACAAAATCTGAACAATATTGTGCTCCATTGATGAGATCTTTCTGGACTTGCAGTGCTGCACTCTTACTTTGATCTGCCTATGAATTTCTTGAAACAATACATCCACTGTTCACCTCTGGTTTCTGAAGATCCTACCATTTCTTTCTTCCCATGTACTATAGATGCAGGCTGTCACCACAGCATACAAAATCTGTTTTTTCAACCTTGTGTTTTTCCAAATATGCATCAGTTTAGTTTTCCATCTATTCAATTCATTGGATAGTCTTCTTACTCCCAGCCAACTTTTCACTTTGTACATTAGCTCACGTGCAAAAGGACAGCTGAAAAACAAATGTGCTATTGCTTCCAGCTGGTCTTCACACAAGCAACAGACAGGGTCATGCATAGGAATATTCAGCTGAAGTAGCCTTTCCTTAGTCCATATTCTTCCCTTCCAGACTAGCCAGGCTATAAAGCAGTGTTTTGGGAACATTAATCCTCGACCAAATTATATTTGCAGCTGCCATTCTACTTCCTTCCCCTTGGAGCCATCTGTATCCTGATTATATAGTATACTTGCCATTCCTGTTGAGCTTCAATTTCTCCCCTTCAAAGCCATTTTTTGCTATGTCCCTCATTTTAAGAATCTGCATCCAGGACTAGTTGCTATCCTGTTTACATGTCACCTCCCATATACTTTTCCTTCTGAGATAGATATCATGAATCCACTTTAGCCATAGACTATCTTTTTTACTGGCCAACCACCACACTCACTTCAAAATAGCTGCCTTGTTCCATATGCCAGCATCATATATGTTCAACCCTCCTTCACTCTTCTTCCTGCAAACCATGTCTCATCCCACAAGGGCAGAGTACCTGCATGATTCTCTAACTCCCCAAAGAAACTCTCTGCACTTCCGATTAACTGTTTCTGTTACACTCTTGGGCAGTATAAAAGCACAGGACCAATATATATGCATATGCATCAACACAGAGTTTACTAATTGGAGTCTCCCGGCATACGACAGATGTCGTGTGCTCCAGCATTTCAATCTAATAGTTATCTTCGTCTACGAGGACTTGACATTCAACCTGATTCCATTTTCGTGGAATAAACAGACCCCCCAGATATCTCATAGGGAACTTGCCAGTCTTAAATCCCATTATCCCACATATTGCTTCTTTCACCTGATCATCCACTCCTTCCACAAAAAGTTCACACTTTATCAGGTTGGCTTTCAGTCCTGATGTTTCAGTGAATTCCCTTTTAAGCCTTCTTTATGTATTTAACAATGACTGTATCATTTTTGCAGAAAGATCATAAAATTAAAATATATTGACCAAAGCAAAAATAGCCTTTGCTATTTTACGAATTTTTTTTACTATTTCTTTACCAACTTTTAAAATACTGGTACAGAAGCCAAATTATATATCTACATCACTAATTTGATGAGGGAAACCACAAATGTTTCTTACTTTCTTCGCCAATGTAATATTGTAATGTAATTTATGCTTGAAGTTTAATAGAGATGAGCACAATGGGATTCGAACATATTACACTGTAGGCCTAACTATTCGCAATAAGTTCAATCGCATTAATTGAGGACTATTTGACAACCAAATAGCCATAAGGATTATTGGAATGTTAGGAGGCCTAAATATCAACATTTATAAAAAGATGTTAAAAGAAGTATTGGATCATGAAGTAGAAATTAGTTAGGCCTCCAAATACTAGTCACTTAATCACTAGCTGCAAGAATTGACTACTGCTCATTCGAATTACATTGGTAATTCATACGTGTGATTAATCTTTTCCCTCAATTTTCATGTTCAAAATGAGATTAGAACACCTAATTTTAATTAAAAAAAATCGATACATGGATTTCTTCCATTTAACAACAATCCCTTTCTATCTTCAAATATACTCCCACCGTCGCACAAAAATAGTTCAGTTTAATAAAAAAGTTTGTCACAAAAAAATAGTTCAGTTTCACAAAAATTAAAATTAATTGAATTGAAATGACTTAAATATCCAAAAGAGTAGTGATAAGGAAAACAAGGTTCGCTTCCTTTGATTTTTATTTTTTTTTGTTTTCTCTCATTTTTTCAAATAATTATATCTTTTAATACATGAATAATTAAAAAATATGTTATATATCAAATTAATCTACGTAACGAGATCTTTCCATTAGGATTCATTGTCAATATTTTTTGAGATAAAAATTTTGATCAAATTTAAGTTGTAAAATAAATACATATGTAGTTAACTTTTATAGAAATAACTAAAAGGGCATTAGTGGAAGTTAGGGGCATAAAATGAGTTGTACATTTAGTGTGTTGACAAAATTAAAAAAATTATACATTTTCAAACTGGACTATTTTTCTGGGACGGATGGAGTATATATATATATATATATATATATATATATAAAAAAATTATACATTTTCAAACTGAACTATTTTTCTGGAATGGAGGGAGTATATATATATGTATACATATATATATATATATCTACATATATATATATATATATATAATCCCTTTCATTAAATGGCGGTGTCTTAGATTGCTACACAACCTTGAGAGACATTGGATTTTATTGATTGTGTTGGGATGTGGCAAGGGGCAACATCAATGTGTTGGTCAGACTTCTCCTACAGTCAATGAAACATCAATGTGTGGCAACGGCTAGTGTTTGTTTGTCCAATAATTTATTTTTCATTTTCACTCATTTTACCTCTTAAACGCAAAATCTAATGAAAAAAAAATTATCCAAACAACTTTTTAATATACCTTTTAAGATGTTGTGTTTGGTCATTACACTATTGTAAAGTTTTCGGTTTAGTCACTGAATTATTGTAAAGTCTTCATTGCGTTTGGTTACTAAATTATTGTAAAGTGTTGCATTTGGTCACTGAACTATTGTAAAGTCTTGTGTTTGGTCGTTATACTATTGTAAAATTTTCATTTTGGTCGCTGAACTATTTTAATTTCATAAATGATCATTATACTATAATACTTTCTAAATAAAAAACTAAACTACCTTTTAAACCTCCTCTTAAATCCAAATCAAAAACTAAAACAAAACGTTTTCCAATCATTTTGTGAATTCTTATAGATCAATAGGCACACAAGTTACTTCCTCCATGTTATATTAATAAATGGTTCAACAAATTAAACTACTAATTTAAGATAGAAAGAAAGAACAAGTAAGATTTTCAGCCAAAATTGCAATGAATACAATTGCTTAACAGTTTGATGAAGTTTCAATTATTTTCTTACAAAAGGAAAAACTCAGCAAATAATACATTGATTTCCATCCAACTTTTTTTTTTTTTTAAGAAATCATCCAACTTAATGATAATTGATTCCATGCGTTACTAACTATAGCATTGTTTCAATACATCCAGCCATGCATGTCAAACAACAAAAGCTTTAAAGATTACAGTACGAACAACAAACATTAACTCACGTGATAATAACATTCAGAATTTCAGTGAGAAATCACGAGTTCGATTCCCATTAACTGTAAATAAACAACATCCATCCCATTCTCTCTTCCCAAAACAAAATTACAAGTACATTTATAAAGTTACTGCAGATCTATTAAGTATTTTTGACAAAGTGATATGAGTATTGATACTTCATAAAAATTTCAAAAAAGTTTGATTAATTATTTTCACAAGTCTTTCAGCGAGGAGATATATAATTCGCCCGAAGGGGAAAAAAGAAATAAGAGAAGACTACAAGGGGCTGATTGCAATTAAACGCATTTACGATTATCATAGTCATTCGACCGATTTTAAGTGTGGCAATCGGCACCACCTGATTAAAGCAAAGCAGATTTCTTTCCTTTCTGAGTTCATCATCATCCTCCTCTCTCTGTGACCCAGCAGCCATGGATTCAAAGCCAACAGAAGTCAGCAGCTCCAAGATGTTTGGAGGATTCAACAAGAGATACAAACACTTCAGTCCCACACTGGGTTGTTCCATGAATTTCACCATTTACTTCCCACCTTCTTCTTCCCCTTCTCACAAATTCCCTGTAAGAAAAGAGCCCTCATCACCCCTTTTCCTGATAGTTTCCTTTTATATCGTTTCTGTCTTTGCATGATTTCACACATTAATTTGATGCTTCGTTATTGATTGAGTACTTGTTGATTATTCATTGTAGTTATTTGATTTGTCTTTAGTGGATATATTGCTAAACCCTGTTTAGAACCCTGTTTGTTTTGGAAGTGTATTGTATAGTTTCTATGGTTTGGGGGTTCCTCAAAGGTTATCTCATGATTCATTTTTCAATGGGTTATGTTGGTGTGAGTTCTCTTGAGTGTTGATTGGAGGTATGGCCAACCATCTAATGATTAGAAATGAAGGAAACTTTTGCACTACTAAGGGTTTTAGGGACTTGGTCTCTGGTTTTAATGATATCTATCAAAGGAGTTTCTCAGCTCTCTAAATGTATGCACAGGGATTTTCTTAGGATTAGCAAAAAGATGGTTTTTACTATGGTTTTTGAAGTTTAGCTGGAGTCCCTTCTTAAATATGCACGGTCCGAATTGGTGCTTCTGTTTAATGTTGAATGTCAAGAAGACCCCTTCTTTTCAATTTGGTCAAGGAAGTTAAAATTTCTTTCTAATGGCTTTTGAATTGAAAACTATGAACTTCATGAGTTGAACTTTCTTTTTTCAGGTCCTGTACTGGCTCTCTGGTCTTACATGCACTGATGAGAATTTCATCATAAAATCAGGTGCTCAACGGGTTGCCTCAAGTGAAGGGATCGCACTGATTGCTCCAGATACATCTCCAAGTATGTTTATTTTGAAGTTGAAAAACTAATCTTAGTGCATAAGCTTAGTTGGCTTGAACTTTGAATGTAGATGTGAAATTTCTTTTTGCAATTAGCTCACCCCTTCCGGAATGCACATAAACTTTCTCCTTGTAATAATTGTTAAGAGTCTTGTATACATCTGAGCTAAAATTACTGATGATTCAAACTCTACCTTCCATTATTTGCACTTTTGGGCCTTAATCTTTTGGTCATCTTTGGAAATTTTTGTACGGAAAAAGGAACAAATGATAGTCATATTTCTGAGCCTGATCAGTTTCACTTCTGTTTGCTTTCTCTCAGGAGGCCTGAATGTGGAAGGAGAATCTGAGAGCTGGGATTTTGGTGTAGGTATGTTGCAGTGGCTCTGTCTTGATATGCATTAGTACTTTGAAATATCTGGTAATTTGAAATGCTCATAATCCTTGGACCTAATATGTTTGTTTCTTGTCCTCTTGGTTAGTTAAGGGATGGAAAATTATTTTAGAAGTCTATGTTGTGTCAAGAACATACACTTATTTCTTCGGTCTTCTTAAATTTTGCTTTGTGAGAAACTTTGATGTATCTATTATATTTGGCTTCCATTTTCTTTACTCCATAAAGCTGGCACTACAGCTGTCATATTTTGGAACAGGTGCTGGGTTTTATTTGAATGCAAAGCAAGAGAAGTGGAAAAATTGGCGAATGTATGATTACGTGGTCAAGGAACTGCCTCTACTCCTTAGTGAAAATTTCCCTCAACTAGATACATCTCGGGCTTCTATATCTGGTCATTCTATGGGTGGTCATGGAGCTCTAACTATCTACCTAAAAAACCTGGATAAGTACAAGGTATTCTTGTAATTTGACATTCATTGAATTTCAGCTGTTTTATATTATATACAAGTTTTCCTGGTGTCTGCATGCGAGCATTTTTGTAGTCATTGTATTTGATCCTCAAGCTGTTCCAACATCAATTTGGAAATCCCTTTTTGAATTGCTTCTTATACTCAGATGATTTCTCTATTTATATACTCATTTTCTACTCTAATTTTGGCGAAGTATATCTCAGTCTGTTTCAGCTTTTGCACCAATTGTGAATCCTATGAACTGTCCTTGGGGCCAGAAAGCTTTCACCAACTATTTGGGTGAAAATAAATCTGATTGGGAGGTAGGACCTTGAGCATAATAAAGGATATAATACATAGAAATTCATTTAGGTTCACTACTAACATACTTCTGCCTTTGTGATTTTGTAGGAATATGATGCCACTTGTCTCATCTCAAAGTTCCATGATCTTTCTGCAACCATTCTAATTGACCAGGTGAGCACTTGATGTTTGGTTTTTTTTTTAAGTTCTGCACCTAGTTGTGAGACTTGATAATTTCCTCTTCCTAGTTGCCATAAGTCATTAGCCATTAATGTTCTAGTCACTGGCTGAATCTGTATTCTGGTTGATTGCCCTTTTTCTTTGAGTATGGAGCTTTGTGAAAGCTTCCATTTTATGCGTGGACATTGTACTAAAAGGTGCAGCCTTTAATCTCCAAATTGAAATCAAGAATGGTGGTCTTAATGCATTGTATTTCCAGTGGCTGTTTCTATATAGAATGAAGTAGAGATTATGTATTCAATGGTGTTGTCAAGAAGATTCTTTAGTGGCATATAAAATGTTCGCTTAATGATTGAAGAACCTGAAGCACACAACTTTTCTGGGTTTCTTTTTTCCAGTCGTCTGGCTATGATTTACTCACTTAGAATCAAAAAAATGTTGTGAGAAAAAATTTTTATTGATTGACAACGATAGTGCAATGATTTTTTGTTAAGTAGGAGTGTAGAACATATAAACGGCCTAGATTCTTTGGCACTAGCAGCACATGGAATTGTGAGCATCTGGCAATTAGAAACCCAACTTAATCCTTTCCTGTTCATGACAATATTCCACTGAAATGAGGTTTAGTTTTACTGTGAAAATTTGTCGGACTGTCTGTACAATGAGGTTTAGGTTTATGTTTTGGTTGATTAACCGAGCTTCTAAAGTCACTATTTTCTTGTATCTGCTCTTTTCTGCATAATGAATGGGGTGGCATTGTGTTTGTTATGCTGATTATCCGGCATTTTTCGTAACTATGGTGATTTGCTCACTTGTATTTGTTTTCGGATCCTGTATGACTTACTTCACCTTTTGCAGGGGGAAGCTGATAGCTTCTTGCATAATCAACTGCTGCCAAACAAGTTTGAAGAGGCTTGCAGAAAGGTTGGTGCTCCACTTCTCTTGCGAGTGCAACCTGGGTACGACCACTCATACTATTTCATTGCGTCCTTCATCGATGATCATATTCGGCACCATGCTCAAGCTCTTCAACTGTAGATCGATCTACAAGTTAATGCTAAAGTTTAAAGATCCTGGTTTTATCAAACTCATGTAGCTTCCAAGAACTCAAGAATGTTGATACTGTGATATTTCTACTAGCACTAGTGAAATAACTCCATAGTTTTTGAACAATTTTCACTCTCTTTTTTCTCATGTGGTTGGAAACTAATAAGTTTGTCTTAGTTTTTTCTTGTGAGGCAAAAGTTGGTCTTGAGCTTTACATTTATTGAGTTTGGTTTGGGTTGCTTGTAACTTTCAAACTTGAGATGAAGTGCTCCCCATATGAATTTAAGACGATTGTCGTGCCCGCGTAAAACCAACTGCATATCCAGCACGCAGACACCACGTTCATTATTTAGCAGCGAGGATGCAAGGTTATGATCCACACTGTCTGGTTATGATCATCAAATTTTAACGGAGACTAAACTATCTTAATAATTGGTTAAATTTGAAACATGTATTGTACCGAACCCTTACCGAATCACATTATCCCCTAACACTGGACAAATCTCTAAACAGGAACAGAAACCAAACATTCAAATACGTAGCCTTTTCTGTTTCCAATTTGTTTTTCAATAACAGTTGCCATTAAAAAGGCTGGCCTCCCTCTTGGTCTATTTTACACCAACAGATATGTTTTGCCAAAGTTAATTGCAGCTACTCGGTGCAAGTCCTCTGAATGTTACAAATTCAGTTCCTATCAATTAGCACAATGCTTTTTTGGAACTAAACGAGAAAGGACAAAGCACTATGTACATAATCTATATTTCACTACAACAATAGAGTACTTCGGGTCTAAAGTCCTTGCCAACTCTGTACAGCACTTGTTACAGTGATGAGTTTCGGTATACCCAAAGCTCTCCAGTCACCAGCTGACATGAAATTGCCCTGTTGATCGAAGAAGAAAGGTGTTCTCCTGTTAACAGTGAATCTACACAGACACCCCTCACCATTGTTACAGCTCCGCTAACAAGGTTATTATTGCAACCATTATTCAGCTCGGACATAGGCGGCTTCTGCTTCCCCTCTTTAAACCATGTTAGAGGAGGCAATAAATGGGATCTTCAAAATTCTCATCCACACTACTATCCCGTAAACAAGATATTATCCCACCAGAATTCAGCTACGAAGTCGGCTGGTTCTGGGATTGATTTCCCTCCTGAGAGACATTAGAGGCGATAAATGCTGGTTCAAGATTTTCATTGACGCTCTTTGTTGGCCTCTTCAACCTTTTTGGCCTCTGCTGTGTTCCTTCAGAGTTCGGGTGAAGATGGTCTAACTCATGGCCCAACGACACAGAACCAGGAGACATAGCATCGGAATTTTTAGACCCTTTCAGAGACCTTGACTTTGGGGTCTGCTTCTCAAATGTCACTTTCCTCTACATGAAGAAAATCCAAAAAGTGAGAAACCGCAAATGTCTTAATACACAAACAGATTTTATCGTTGTAACATGTAAATCATGAAAATTCCCCAAGGAAGTGCTTCACATTACTTGAGTAGTGATTACGTGTAGCATAAACAGCAATAGCTAACCAGACATCTAAAATGCACTCAACTTGTTCGGTTACTTTAGACTTTCTCATTCACACCTCATCCTCAACTTTCTATCCCCTGTTTATCCACATTTAAAGCAGGCAAAACCAAAAAAAGTTTGGACACGAATCAAGCTCCCACTAAAACCTTAATGTCCAGCCTAAACACCCACTTCTCTAACCTCCCAAGAAACAGCTCTTCCTCGATGAACATTGAACATCCAAACATTACCACAAACTAAGTTAATATGTAGAAAAGGTAGTCTTATTTGTTGACATGAATCTTCTCCACTTTCTCCAATCAGACTCAAGCCATCACGCTATCTACATATTCTTATAGTCCTCTTATAATATCACATGATTTTGACACTAATCCAAGAGCAAGACTCTCTGGCCTCAATACAGGGTTACACTGCACCCAAAATAAAAAATCTACTTTATTCTCAAGATAGCCGTACATTTATATGGAGTCAACATTTAAGTATGTTATTAGTTTAAATACTTGCGAATATCTTAATAGAAAAAAATAGCACAATAAACAAGCTCAACTCAATGTGAAGTGACAGTTCAATAACATGCTTTTGCCACTTTAATGTTTCCTGAGTCAGTAACAGCCAAAATTCCACTCAGTAGGCCAGCATAAGACTCGATGTGTAGTTCATGAAATCACAGACATGGTTAGTTCAGTTGCATAGTCAACTTAAGTTATATTGAGTTCATACAATATACGAACATAACTCAAATTCTGAGTGGTAAAAGATTATATATGCCTCTATGTCTCTCCCCATGAAGTCTCAGAACACAGATATCATGTATCACAGCAAAAGCACCTACAAGAAAAGCTGAAAGAAATCGTCCCGGAATCACCTTTTTATTGTTGGACGAAGTTTTCTCGGGATTAAGAGTGACATCACGCTCATTGACTTCTGAACCAAGATCAGCAAAATCAAACAAAGAAGGATCACCCTCTGCATCAATCCGTATTCCCTTTGTTCCAGTTTTCCTTTTATGCCTCTCTTTAGCCTAACAAGAAAACCCACCATACTTTCAAGAGTAAATATATAATCATCATAAAAAGAAAATCAACATGAGAAAACAACAAACACTGCATGATGATAAAAGTAAGCAATGCAACATTTAGTTAACCTGCAATGGAATTTCTTTCAATTTTTGTTCCAAGTGAGGATCATCAATTAGCAAGGACACAACATCTTCGGGAGCCAAAATATCACCCTGTACATGACCACCTGTCATGACAAGCTGCTGTACAGTATTTTTCTGGCTTGCTCTGAGCAAAATTTTCTCCTCAACCGTCTCTTTACAGATCAGCCGATAGACTGTAACCTGTATCATACAAAAGCTTCAGGAAGTGGGTATACTAGAAGCCGTTAAGAACTAAGAAATAGAAATGAACACGTAGCCTAAATCACCCCCTCCGTCATAATGAAGAAAAATGTCTGTGACTTATTTTAAGTTTGAAGACAAAACACATATAGTAAGCAAGGTACAATGTTCTTTTCCCACTCTATCCCCAATTGAGAAACCACATTCATCAGGATCTCATAGAAAATGGCTCAAACTTGACTTTCTTTTGGGAAGAATAGATGTCCAAAGACAAGTTTGATTCCCTATATATGAGTAGACAATGAATAAAGACGGACAGACATTTTAAAATGGGCAGAGATGCTCAACCATCAAGTAAAGATAAAATAACATGTCCAGTGAAAATGACCTATTTAAATGGTCATCTGCAATTCAGAGTATTCAAATGGTAAAAAATAGCCATTAAAAATATGAGCCATTAAGCTTAGATAAACTCAAAAAGTTTTTTTAAATCATCAAAAGTACTAAAATCGCAAAGAAACTTGTTATAAGTTTACACCTGAAGTAATGAACTCTTCTTTTCCAGAAAGTTGTTTGAGGAAGTCAAAAAGTATAAGAATCGACAAAAAATCACCCTATATCAAAAAATTAACCAAACTGGACTTGCTACCATAAGATAGGAAACCCACAGCTGCTTTTGTGTGGGCTTGAGTCCACATTATATCTAAGAAACTTATACAAACTGGAATGGCTGCCATAAAAGATAGGAAACCCAAGGCTGCTTTTGTGTGGGCTCAAGATTGTAAGGTATACAGGTCGGGACTGATGGGAATGTTCATTTACATTTGACATGGGAGGAGGGGAAAAAAAAAAGCTAAAGGAGCGATGAGCAGTTACCTCCTTGGTCTGACCTAACCGATGAGCTCTATCCATTGCTTGAAGGTCAAGAGTAGGATTCCAATCACTTTCATAGAATATTACAGTATCTGCAGCAGTCAAGTTAATACCCAGCCCACCAGCTCTTGTACTCAGTAGAAACACAAAGATATCATTCCTGCAACAGGAAGTAAAGATAGTGTCTAAATTACAGGATTTCTTAACAGTGAATGGCCAAGACAAACTTGGTGAATCAATAAACACCTACCGGTGCTGGAAGTCCCTGACCATGTCTCGCCGATCCACTATAGTGGAGGAGCCATCAAGTCTTAGATACTTGTACTTCCTATAGTTCATATAGTCCTGCAAAATGGGAAAAATTGAGGAAGTTCCATAATGAAGTCTACTGCCACCCTGAAGAACTAATTCCGCAAGGAAACATCCAGTTTAAAATTGCCAAAGCTGACATTTAATCGGAAGAAGTCTACTTTCACCTAAGAATTGATTCCTTAAGGAAAGATCTAGTTAAAGAATATCAAAAGTGCCATCAAACTATAACCTACACACCATAAAATTGCCAATTACGGATCAAAGAGGATTTTGGTGCAACAACTGAAAAGGAAAAAATGTTACTGGGTCAAGATTTTACTGAGTGAATCCATTCAATTAGGCCAAAGGGTTTGAGTCATCTAAGACACCCAAAATGGCTTTGTCTAATACTGCCAGACTTTAAGAACATTTAAAGTTGGAAATTTTGTTCTCTAAAACTTTTTCTCTCAGGGGAATTTATTTTGGATATTGGACAACAAATATTTTATGAATTTTCATATCTTCTACCAAAAGTTAAAATCCGATGTGCCACAGCTAGACCAATCAAACAAAAAAGATGAGTGCAGAGACTGCAACTTCAAGTCAGGGTGGGTTTTCCATTGTGAGGTCAGCAATTTCCACAAAGCAGAAGTTCAGGGTGGCCGGTGGGTTACATCTCTTGCTGAATTCCAGATCAAAATACTATGCAAATGGCCAATACTTCAAGCCACTTTCTCCTTCTCACCCTCATGAGAAAGACAAGAGTCCTATTCCAACCCTAACTTTGAAGAGAATATTATATTTTTAAAAAGCACACAGCCAAGTACAGGTTTTAGATGATAAAGGCAATTTTGACATACATTCACATGCAATAACACAGTTCCAGATAAATTACGTAGTCAAATGAAACTGAAATTTCACAGGTTACCTCTAGGATATTCAACATTTTTGTCATTTGTGCAAAAAGAAGTACACGATGGTTTTCAGCCCGTAAGCGTTTCAGTAGTATATCCAGCATCTGAAGCTTTCCAGAGTCCTAAAAGAAAATTCATACATCTCAATTGTAGATAAGACGAAATAAGTTCTAACTTCATTGTTTAAAGAGGGGTACATGTAACCTGGCAACAGAAACAAATACATAATAATACCCCCCAAAAAAGGACAAGTCTTACCGTCAACATCTTTGCCGGATCAAAGGGTTGCACAGGAGGACATGACCCAAAGATATTGTACGTCAACTTTAGGGCAGGTTGTGAAACAGGCAGTTCGGAGTCAATTTCTTGAATTAAAGGGTGAGGACTATTTGGCTTCCCAGGACCATTAAGGTCAGAAGTCCGTGCAAACCCAACTAACAATCTTTTAAGCCACGGATGATGCAGTTGCTCAAGCATTTTGTAAGCAAAGTCTCTATCAGCACAATGGATACCTATCTGGAAATGAAATGCAAACAGTCAGAATGCATTGGGTTGGTGTTGCACTATTGTCGTATTAAGTCAATGAATACATGTCACTTACCGGTGGAGCTCTAGCTCTTGGGATGTAAGAGTATACTGAATGCAAAAGCTTAATATTTGATAGAAGCCTTTCTTCATGAGGCATAACTAAAGCCTCAAATGGGGAATCCCTAGGACCTGTTGCACGACGTCTCAACAGAGTTGCATCCGATTTGGGTGGCAACAGCAGCATTCGAGACACCACTCTCACTTTTTCCCTCCCAATTTGATTTAACTCACCATCATCTTCAGTCTCCATAAGCAGATTTAAAATCTGATCCAGATATTGTCTATCCCATCTCATAATCGAAAACAACAATTTTTCCATGAAGGAACCAGTAGCCAAAAGTGACAACTCTTCAGGTGATAGATCAGCTAAACTCGCAAATCCAAAAGTTCCACTTTGTAGGAAAATACAATCAGAGTTCTGATGTATTTGAAGCAGTGATTTATATATATTTTCAGGAGAGAAGATGTTAAAGTATTTCTGAAATAATTCCTGCCCAAGACCTTGGCTTCTAAATGAATATGGTGAAATAGACCGTTGGAGAAGTTCTTGGTAGACCAACTTCGGTATCTGTACAGAATTGCAATAAAAAGAATGTCAAGTCCCTAGTAAACAAAAGAACTGCAGCTGATGAAAATTTGAGAGCTAGACAACCAATTTCTTTTACACTCTTAAGCACGGTACTTTATTATTTGTTTCTTTCATGTTGTTAATCGATCTAATTGAGGAAGGAGGAGGCTTCTAGAATGCCTAACTAGGAAAAGACCCATGCCAGTGATAAAAACCATTATCAAACAACTAATGAAACTAGATCCAACTGCCATCATACACTAAAACCAGTCAACCACATCAATCCCATACCTTGTATGTAATTGGATTCCAGCCGCCAGAATAGTAGATGTTCTCCAATTCCCCATGAGGTGGTGGCAGCAGAGAGTTTGGAATCTCTCCAAAATAGAAGTATGTAGTTCCCTCGTTTCTCTCAAATAACTCTGGATGGTTGCAGACCTGTGATCAGAAAAAGATGAAAAACATGAAATCACCAATTCAGAAGAGCAAAAGATGATTTGTTATGAACAGAAATACTAAATAAACACGAGTCGGAAAGATAAAAAACCAAAATGTACGCACTCCAACCCAATAAATACACTACAGTACCTTCCTTAGCTGGATGACAATATTCATCAAGTTCTGAAATTTCTTCTCACTTAAGTTCCCACTGTTTCCCTCAAACAACTCCGCAAGCGAAATCTTATTCTTTATTGCTTGATAAAATGCCTGCTGACGAGAGCTCAGTTTACAGTGCACTGTTATTTCTGTTTTACCAGTCATCTCAGTAATCACATCCTTTTTAACTCGCCGTAGCATGAAAGGCTTCAAAATAGCATGCTGTTAACAAGGAAGCAAGTTAGGGAATGTAAAAAAGTAGGATTCAATGAGACCAAAGATGAATCATAAAGACTATCAAGTCGAACTCATAACGCAGCACTATTCAAATATTCAAATCACAAACGATTCTGTAGGAAACTTATATTGCATAAAGGAGTAGTGGTGCAGTTCAATGGGAAACAAAAAAGCCACATTATCAGCATAACATCTAAATAAAACAATATCATACAACCAGCTTTGAGGGAACACGCCCAACTACAAATCAATTTAAACATAAGAAGCAAACAGTTGGCCAGAAGCACCCAGAAACCATAAGACATAATAATTCAACAACTATGAACCTAATTGTAGAGGAAATATTTCTATAATATATATATATATATATATTTATATATATACGTTAACACTCCAGTCCCAGTCAATAAAATTACCAGAATACTTTCACATAATTTTTGGTTTGCCTAGAATAACTGCTTTCTAAAGTCCCATCAAATTAGCAGTTTCCTCACTATGGAGAAATCTATTGTGTAAGTTACAACATCCAAAGCATCTGTATTAGAGACATCATACTCATGCAAGAGATTCTATAAGAAAATAACAGAAGATTGTAAAACAAATGACTAAACATGTTAATAAGTATAATATGGCTTCAGAAGATGACTCACCAATCTATTTAATTGATGTTCATTCAATGTACCACCATGTTCAGCATGATTCTCTATCCTGATGATGCATAACAAGTAAACGTTCAGAATAACTAATTCCAATATTAAAGACATCGTGGGAAAAAAACAAACAAAAAAAGGAAAAACTAAATAAATAAAACCGTACCCTTTGGAAAACCACTCATTAAACTGCTCATGGCTATCAAATAATGTAGGCATGATGAAATGTAGAAGAGACCATAGCTCGGCCATATTATTTTGAATTGGAGTACCAGTCAGAAGCAAGCGGTTTCTACAATTGAAACTGAGCAATGTCTTCCACCTTATACTGGCAAGCCAAGAACAAAATGATTAGATTAGGGTAATACCTCACTGGTTTATTTTTGGTCAGTCTCAAGCCTGGGCCTTAATCAAGACCAAGCACATAGGTGGGCTTGAAAACAATTCAAAAGTTATTTAGAAGACTTTAAGTAAATTCAAAGCAAGCAAAGCAGCATCTTTGCACCAGTTATTCATTCCAAATAACAATATAAAGGTAATTTAACATGCTACTTTTTCCTTGGTTTAGCTTCATAAGGTACATTGTCCCATAAGAATTAGGTCCAAACCTCTGTGCATTTTTGATTGCCTGAGCCTCATCCAACACCATATATTGCCATTTCACACGTCGGAAGTACTTTTCATCTGATACTAGAAGTTGGTAGCTCGTTATCAGAATATGAAATGCAGCATCCCTGATTAAAACCAAAACGCTCAAGTCATTCTAAAGCGTGAAACAGAAAATTTATTAGCTAGACAATATTAAGCAGAAAAAGAATTACGTTTTCCTTTGGCAAACAATTAGGAAACAAATTTCATCATCGAAAAAAAAAATTAAAATTTCAAGAATGTTGACTATGGGGGAAAAAAGAAAAAAATCTAGAGACACAAAGTACATGAGTTTTTAAGCACCAAAAATTAGTAAATGTATCATAAGAACTACAGGCTATTTGCAATCCAAAATTAATCAAAGAGGAATAAACTGTTTAAAAATGCTATTGGAAAACTTTCTGAGCAACAATGGATGAACCAATTCCATGTAACAAGCACTACTTTTAACCAAAATCAATAAATGCAATCAAATGAAACTCATAGTTTAGGTTATGCCTTTAAGATGACCTTCACCACCTTTAAAATACAGCCCCCCTAAAGGTCCAAAGAAAGAATAAAGTAAGGCAGCCCATGATATGTAGAAGAGAAATGAGGAAGATTTATAAGGACCAAGAACATGGAAACTGGAAAGAATGGGAACAAAAGAACTCAAAAAACATGCCAATGATAAGCAGGAAAGAGAGGAAAAAGGAAACCTAACTAAATGCCCATGCATGATATGAAGAAGGGTTGAGGTAGAAGTATAACAGCCCAGCAAAGTGGCAAGAAAGGGAAAAATAAAATAGTGGCAATAAGTACTACCGTCGGTAAAGACGCTTTGGGTTGATGTTCTTTCTGAGCACTGTTCGCTCTTGTTGTCCACCCCAATATGGGAGTGTCTTCAGATCAGGGCAGAAACGACCAATTTCATCAGCCCAATTATTCAAGACAGACGATGGAGCAACCACCAAAAAAGGTCCCCATATGTTCTTTTCCTGGATAGCAAGAATGGTATGAGCTAATAGTAAAGAGCGATAAATAAAATTCGAATACAGTCAGACACTTACCTCAGCCAAATGTGCCAAGAAAGCCATGGCTTGAATTGTCTTCCCAAGTCCCATTTCATCAGCAAGTATACCATTTAAACCCTGTGAGAAAAGTAAAACATCACAAACTGCCAGCACAAAAATCCACGCAATAAGATTTCAACTCTGATAATTCTCTTCAACCTGTTCGTAACAATTTACAAGCCACTGCAGACCTTTGAGCTGATACTCCTTAAGGGAACCTTTAAATAACTCAGGTGTCTTCACAGTTGATCCTACCGGCATTGTTGATCTGCGTTATCAAGTAGAGGGATGAGAAATGTGTATTTTTGTTTAGGGGAGTAGAAAAGAAAGAGGAAAGAAATGTATCTATGAAGCACAGGAAATAAGTTTGAAATCGAATGATAAACATACGGATGCAACAAATCTATGTCAGCAGAAACTGCAACAGAATTGTCATCTTGAAGGGCTTCAATATCACCAGTCTGTCGCAGCTTCAGACATTCACTGTCAAATGCACTTGTCATCATTTTCTGCTTTGAAACTGCATCCTGAGCAGCTTTTAGGGCTTCCTTTCTTAGTTCAGCATCTTCAGGATCCTCCTCTTCATCATCTTTTGTTTCTGAAGATAACAGCATATCCTCATCTACTTCTTTTTCTCCAGTAGCCAACGTATCAATTGATTGTGAAGCTGATTTGTTTTGCATGAAGTGACTGTATAATTCAGTTTGTGAAAGCAGAAAATTGAGCCGCTGCTGCTGCCTCTTAGCTTCGCGTAGTTCCTGCTCACGCTTTAGAGCTTCTTGAGCTTCTTTTTCCTCTCTTTTCCTAACTTCAGCCTATATGGAGATGATATGGGTCAATAAACAACTGTCAAAAAGTGGAAATTAAGCTGTCACTCTCAATAAGCTGTTGAGTATGTATGTATTCCCTTCTAACAACCTCCCTAATCTCCAGACTGGAAATTAAGGATTTAACCTTTCAGGACATATGATGAACACTGTTCGGTCGAAATAGGAGTAAACATAAGATGTTCAACAATCAGACTGTATGCCCATAAAAGTAACAATTGTTCACAAAAGACCAATTCAAGGAAGAAGCCTACCTTCGGAACAATAAACACATCCCCCCCCCCCTCGGGCGAAAACCAATTGAAAGGGGAAAACAAGCCTGACTACAATCACATACTGACATACAAGTTTCAAAAGAAAAATGATGTTACCATCTCTTTGTCCACCCTCTTCCAAAATACAAGCATGTCCCTGGCCAATTTCCTAGAGCGAAGCCCAGCACCCCTCATCCACTTGAGTGATCTGCTGACCTTTAATTTTACCTGGAAAAGCAGTTCAGCATGGAAACTTAGCTGAAGCGAAAATAGGTACGGAAATATAGAACTAAATCTATCGCAAAGTGACAACAGACTGCATAAAAAAAAAAAACTGGGAATCAATGCACAACAAAAAGCAACAAAGGTTAAACAGATTACCTCTCTTTGACAAACTTCAGCACACCTCTTGGCATCAATCAATTGCTTCTTATGGAAATTATTGAAATTTCTATGATGTCTAGGAATATCTTTTCTGACAATATTCACCCAGAATTTACCGATCTTCTCCTTTTCCTCCCTCTCAATCACCGAAGGATCTTTCTTCACCTTTGGCCTTTTGGGTAGACTACGTTCAATAATCTGCATTCACAGGGCAAGTAAGAAATGATGACCAAAAGCATCTCAAAATGGTGGGAAAATAAGTCAACCCCCTCTAGAAACCCCAACTTAAGAAGTGAATAAACCAAGCAAATAGTTTTCGCAATGGTAAAATGTAGAAAAGTACCTCATAAGTGTCACCTTTTTCCAGCACTTTCACATAATAAACTTGTAAATTGTTCCCCTCTGACAAGATTGATCGCCGAATTCGTCCAGCTGATCCTTCAGGAATGGAGGACGCCTGCAGTGCAGCCTCACTAACCCTCAGGTTATATTGCTGGCTTTCATTATTGGCAGGCTGTGCCCGCATTCTGGATTGGAGAGATTCATACTGGGGTTTCAGATCACCCATACCAGCCACACTTCTGGTCTCAAAACGATTATCAGAAGCCATCATTGCTGCCAAAGATCCCAAATCAAGAGTCCCCTTGAGGTAAAACTCATCAACGTGGATATCCGACAAACTTGGCAAGTGCAATGACGCCACCAATTTTTCATAAGGGAGGGGAATCCTATATGAGATGCCATCTCCAATATCCAAATAGCCAGGATCAGTAACTAATCTGCAAGAATTTTTGAATGAATTTGAGTTCAGACACCATGACGGACTTATAATCTTTCAGCCGTCCCATATGCATTCAACTTGGTTTCCAAAAAAGGCCAGTCAATGAAGCAAAAATGTGCCATATTGTGTTTAGCCAATTTTGCTCGACGTGGTCACTTGCTAGGATGTTTATCATTCTCTCCAAAAGAATGAAAATGTGAAATACTTAAATCACCAGTTTGCTCTATGTTCCAATGCGACACTATTGGCATTATTATACTTCTCTAATTAATAAATGAGCACCATTTTTTACAAAAGTAACTCAGATAGACAAACCATATTTCCACAACTCCTATGTTTATTAATAAAAAGAAAAAAGTAAGTGGTGATTCACAAGAAAGAAAGCACACCTATCAGCTCCATATTTTGGCGTAAAGTCTGATCTATCATAATTCCCAGACTTTGAAGAATGATTGGCATTGGCAAAATCAGAAGACGAGTCAAGATCATGGAATCTCCCTCGGTGATCACTCACCAATTTCTGATCTTTGAATCCTAAGCTACTTTTGGGAACCGGCATCACAGCTCTCATTGGTGCAGGACTAGGGGAGGCATTCTTGTGCCTCCTCTTATACTTTTGAATGTGCTCTCCCAGCATAGCTCGATACTGTTCCTCCGAGATACGACTACTATAATCTCCGTACTCTTCTTCGTCGCTGCTATAGCCAATCTGCCTTTTCCTTTTCGCCTCCCTTTGCAACATTACTCCATTAGTGTGCTCCCCATTGGCTCCCCCTACAATTGAGGAACATAAACAACAGCAGAAGTATTAGATAAGCTCACAGTAAAGCCACACAAATGAAACAAAATCACATGTATCATACACCCTTTTGGCCATAAACTTTACCGACCAATCCACCATAGATTTATACTTATAGTAATAAATTTGGGGGTGAAAACACGAAAATGGGTTCTAGACATGAAATCCAGAGGCTTGAAGTTGCTAAACCAACTAAGGGAATACCTTGGATACCTCTGCTTTCATCCTGACTACTACCATTCGCATAATAGTCAAAAGCTTCCTCCGGCTGAGGCAGTTTGAAGTTCATCAACGGCTGCAAAAGTAACCCCACGAAACAAACAAAACGGTGAGAATCAAGGCATGCACAATCATAAAAAAAAAAAAAAGTAGCCAAATTTATCCAAACTCGAATCACATTACGTCAAAATAAACTCAATTCCGCAAACCACCAAACCAAAAATAGCTCCCCAAACAAAACCACTAAACTAAGCCAGCAGAACGAAGATGATACTATTCCTAATTACGAAAATTAAGCATAACCCAATTGAGAAGACGAACAACCCGCGTGAATTACCTCAAGATTGAACAGATTGGAGTAGGAAAATCGCCTATTGGAGTCCATGAGCTATCGTGGCGTAAAACAACGGGAGAAGCCCTATGATTACGAAGAGCATTGGGGCATCAAGAGCGTATACAAATAATCGAACTGGAAAATCTGGCGTGGAGGGAAGGATGGGAGGTCCAATACGACGACGTCGGGAAGCACAGAGAACCCTAACCCGGCAGGAAGCGATAGAGAGAAAGATAATGAGGGGGAAGAAGGATCTTCGACTCTCCTTAGAAAGAGAAAGAAGAAGAGAGAAGAAGCGGCGTACACAAAGCTTGAGCACATTGGTTCTTGCTAAAGTGCGCCGGTCAGGATGGTTAGTTAAAGTGCGCTTCCCGGTAAAATGTGTGTGTGTGTGTGTGTGTTTCTTTTTAGTCTCAGTCCCCGAAAAAATGATGATTTGCAGGGAAGTGATTTGGGCTGTGATTGGCTGCGACGCCACACGTTACTATGAGTAATGCTCTCATTACATTTGAATTTTATATTCTATATATTTATATGTATATGTATATATCTTTTTTTTATTCTATATTTGATGATGATGATTTCTTAGAAAAATTTACAATTGCACTCTGAAAATTTTTCTCCAAGAAAGATTGAAAGAATTTCTTTAAACCTGGTCGAAAAATAAATCATCACACAACTTTTTCTCCAAGAAAGATTGAAAGAATTTCTTTAAACCTGGTCAAAAAATAAATCATCACACAAAAATTGATAATTTCAAAATCGTCAAACAAGGATTGATAATTGGAATACCTCATATGCTATACATACATTAATGTAAAGTGCACACTCAAATCACGTAAAGTATTTTGAGGAAATATTACTAGTTTTGTCCCATACATTGTTCGGGTTTTTTGATGTTGTTAAATATTATTAATACTCGTTATCATCAATCATTAAATTAGAATCAATATTTTATTTTTTTCGTCTCTAAAAAAACATTCCAAATAAAGAGAGGGTAAGTTATTTTAATTTTCCAATTTGTGACTTTATTATCTTTTAATGTTGTTTTCAGATATTTTATTTAGAATATTATTTTATTTATAAATCTCTTTTTATTCATGGAGAAAATATAATGATTTTGCTCATGCAAAATGCGTTAAGTTTTGCCTCTCTTTGATTTGATAGATTGATCAAGTTGGGCATACATTGTTTCAAATCTTTTGATGTTGTTTTCAAATATTTTATTTAGAATATTATTTTATTTATAAATTTCTTTTATTTGCAGAGAAAATATAATAATTTTGTTCACGCAGAATGCTTTAAGTTTTGCCTCTCTTCGAGTTGATAGATTGATCAAGTTAGGCATATGCAATCGAAAGATATATAAAACATTTTATACATATTTTCGTTACAACTAAAAATTTGAAGAGACGATTACTTTATGCTCAAACACGTGATTCTCTAGATTAGCTAGAATTATAATAATATTTAAATATGATTTTGTTTTAATGAAGTGTTAATTGTGGAGATTTATGTGGCTATTACGTAAAGTAAGTGTATTCTTTAGGGAAATCATCAACCTCATTAAGGCATAAGACAATACGGGGGTGGGAGGATTGGGTGTTGGAATTCTACTTCAAGAATAGTAGACAACAATGACTGCACTAGATCAAAGAACAAGAGAAAGAATTTATGGTTAGGACAAAAGAAAGTTTTGTCTCCAAGTCACAAGTAAACTTGCTTTCCTTTAGGCTAAATTCGCACACTATACAGTGTAATTAATTGTCTAGACGAATTCCCTATGAGATAAAATGGAGATCATGTGGTTTCACTATGCACTTTAGTGAACCAACAACCTGATACAAGGATAAGAAATGTCTTTGGAAATATTCCAAGTATTTGGTGATTTCATTGTACACTAAAAGCATCCAAATGATCCATATTTATAGAGTTAGAGGAAACTCTTGAGGATTAGACGTAACCCTTGGTTATGATCCTAGACATAACTTTTCGTTAATGTCTTTTCATATGGAGTCCATAGGCACAACCTATTAGTTATGTCTCTACAATATATTGAAAACACCCAATAGGTAACATATTAATTGTGTCCCTACAGTATATTGAAAATAACTCCAACAATCCCCCGCCATTTTCAATATATTGAAAATGATTTTTAAATGGATCCAGAATAATTCCAGCAAAACCCATGCATAAAATAATGGTGTTGTTAGACTTGAACCACTACCTTAGTGTCAGTTTCATAACTTGTAGTACAACCCGGTAGACTAGCTTTGAGTTGTGCGTACATTTACAAGCCACTATTGTGAACACATATAGGTTTCTTTCTCCTCAACTTGCATGTACCTTACAGTGCATATGGTACGTAAGGTCTTGTACCCATATCTCTTCATGAATGTTAACAAAGCCAAGTCCCAAGTTTTGTGGATCCCCAGTCTGACATTCATTAGGCAAACTTCTTAATGCCCCGGCCATTTTAGCATTTACAAGAGTTTGTTAAGAGTCAATTCTCAACCTGATACCCAGCGGGAAATATACAGCACTAACTACTTTGGGATAAATATTATAGTAATCAATTACTTGTACATTGTACTATAGCTCATTGAATTCAAGACTAGAGTATTTACTAGCGTTGAATTGAGGTTCCAATACAAGTAATCATTTTTGGACTTTACACATATCCTTTTAAGTCATTCAGTCTTTAGACCAAATGTCTTTCAATATTTAGCCCTTACTTATGAGTTTGTTAACTCAAATTTTAAGGATCATCTCTTCACACGAGTCTATTGACTCAAATCTTGTTAAGAATTTTAATTCTTAACCTGAGTTCATTAACTCATCTTGTGATCACAATTTAAATAATAATGCATCCAAACTGTTCATTAATATGATCATATTTAGGAAATTGAAGAACCAGCCTGTTCTTTCAAACTTGGCAATCAACCCAACAATGAAATCATCTTCTCTAATATGAAGTTTTGAAATCATCATGTCACGATTTCTTTCTACATATTCCTGGAAAAAATAGCTCCATTTCTCTTGTTACAAGCATTTTACACTTGAGCTCTTAGTGTCATTCTTTGTTACAATATGGTAGCTGTCCTAATACCTGATTCATTGTTATTTTAGTTGATATGATTTCGAACATGGACTTGATGCTTTGTCCATTTTCCACAATGTGGATTTAGGTCAAGGATCATTCTCATTTTTAACTTTAATAGAGAATTTTTCATTCTCTTCAAACTCTTTTATTATATATAAAGAGCTCCAAGTTTCCAAACATATAATCTCCTATTTTCTTTTGAGATCTCATGGAAACTTTAAATTATTGACATAAAACAACTCAAACATATAGTAAGACATGAATTTCAAATCATATATTAACACATATGATATAAATTCATAACTATATCACTATTGTCATACTATGTACCTCATGAAATTGTCATATAAATTGCAAATTCATTTATACAATTAAATATTCCATGTAACAAACACAAATACACGAAATTAGCACTTTATTGGGATCAAAATTCTTTATTTAGTTAATCCAAAATCAAATAATTAATGTGTGATGCACTCACAAAAATTCTGCACACAAGAATTTATTTTATTTTATTTGATTTTCTTAGGTTTCGGTCGTTGACTTTTCTATCGAATTTATCCAGGTGACGACTAAGTCGACGAGGCCAAACAGCCAAACACTCTAACGAATGGTTAATTTTTCTGTCAACTTTAATCTATGGGCGAACAAGTTGACAAAGCCAAATAGTTAGACATATCAACGAAGGACAACTTCTATGTCAACTTTACTCTAGTCAACCAACAAGTTGACAAAGCCAAACAAAACACAGAATAAATTCCAACAGATTTCGACTTTATAAAAATTTATAACATGCACTCAAAGCACTATTGCTATATCAAATACCAATTTTGCATTTCCATTTCAAAGCATGATAAAAACATGACCAAATTCTCTATCAAACATTTTATGACATACATTTTCTTAATTAATCATCACATTAATTAAGTATTTTATTTTGATAGAAACCACACATTTGGGCAATCAACAAATAATGCATAGTAAATTTCTTTTACATGCAAAAGTTCATGAATTCTACAACCATGTTCCGCTCAGGCATAGATCTCATCACTACGTTCATGTATTTATTAAATATATACATACCTTTAACTTAGAATGTCACAATTCACAAGTAAAATATAATTCTTACTTTGATGACGAGGTCCATTGTATCCTATCATTGCCCTTTCCATTAAATCCAATGATTTGCAACATTTCTAGCATTTTTGTGTACAACGAAAATATCCTTGCTTGATTCTTCAAGTACTAGCCATTGTTTAACAAGAGAATTTAGCCTAAAAATTGTTGGAATTCTACTTCAAGAATAGTGGACAACAATGGCTGCACTAGATCAAAGAATAAGAGGAAGAATTTATGGTTAGGACAAAAGAAAGTTTTGTCTTCAAGTCACAAGTAAACTTGCTTTCCTTAGGCTAAATTCGCCCACTATACATTGCAATTGTCTGGGCGAATTTCCTATGAGATAAAATGGAGATCATGTTGTTTCACTATGCACTTTAATGAACCAACAACCTGATACAAGGATAAGAAATGTCATTGAAAATATTCCAAGTATTTGGTGATTTCATTGTACAGTAAAAGTATCCAAATGATCCATATTTATAGAGTTAGAGGAAACTCTTGAGGATTAGACGTAACCCTTGGTTATGATTCTAGACATAACTTTTCGTTAATGTCTTTTCATATGGAGTCCATAGGCACAACCTATTAGTTGTGTCTCTGCAATATATTGAAAACACCCAATTGGCACAACATATTAATTGTGTCCCTACAATATATTGAAAATAACTCCAACATTGGGTGGGGTGGTTAGGGGATTAGGATGGGGGATGGTTATTACCAGGAGGTCGATGGTTCGATTCTCTCTGGGGCCATCCTTTTTTTTTAAGAAAAAAAGCGTAAACCAATATCAAATTAACTGGGTAAATTTGGATCATAACTTTTTTAC